TGGATGACTTTTTCAGTAGAATTTATTGCTCATATTCATATCTCAGTGTTATTATAGAACTTTCAAACTTCACTTACTCCAATAATTCCCTTATTTTAATAGTAGTAAAATTTTCCAGATATCTGCAATATGTGATGAATCATTAGTGTTTTATCCATGTTAGGTGTTGACTCAATGAACAAAAACTCTATGATTAATGTCTCTCTCTCTGCCTAGCTATAATTGATTTCAGAATTGACACCCTATCCAACCATATTCCCTGGTTATGGATGAGTGCATGCAGAGTGACAGGCGAGTTTTCCTGTAAATTACTTATTTTATTAGGGTCTAACATTGTTCTGCTAAATTCTTTTGCTCTGTTATTCTGACTGACGGAGATCAGCTGTTTTGACCTAAATATACTTGACTTCACAATCATCAAATGATAGGCATTTGATAGATCAGATTATTTTACTGAACTGGCTCTATTGAATCTTTCAGCCTACAAAGTTTCTCACTCTGAATGAGTTTGTGGGTTTAAATGTCACCGTAATCGAGGGATTGTAAAGAATTCTATGTAAAATTTCTGCTGTGTCTTCTTTATACGGCAATACTACAGAGGATTTGAATCCCCTCTTGGACATGTTGTAGTCACCATTAATATTACCACTCCTTCTGTAATCAGTTCATATGAACTTTTTAATGCATTTCAGGGGGTAGTTATTAAAAGGTATCCTCTCTGTGATGTGTTTCACTTCGTTATTTAGGGTTTCTGACTTACTAATCAAATTAAGCGGGTGTTTCATGATTTGAAAATATTTATGCATTGGGTAAACCCGAAACTGGTACCTCAATTTGGTTCAAGCTCAAACGTAGATTACACAGACCATCAGATTCTATGATCTACGCAAAATTCTCAAACCTTCCATTTCACTGAGACCAACTATGAACTTCACCAACACACCAACATACAACCTCTCCAAATATCTGGCTTCAGTATTTACATCCCTAAAACAAACATTCAGAATGCACAAGAAAGGACTCACCTGATTTTAAATCCAAAATTTCACTCAAAACTGATGAAGATGAAATTATGGTATGAAATTATGACATGACTTCTTTATGTACTAGTATTCCAGGTATTGATAGCCTAGGTATTGTTTCTAATTTATTAGACTCAGACGCGTCACTGACAGAAAGAAATCCACTGAATACCAGTGATATCTTCAAGACCCTAAAATTTGGCTTGGAGACTACTTACTTCACATATAAAAGAAAACTACACAGGCAAACTAATTGTGTTGCTATGGCTCCACCTGTCTCACCTATGGTAGCTAACCTGTTTATAAGTAAATTCGAAGGTGTCTTCATTCACTTAATAAAGCCAAAATTTTGGCTGAGATGTGTGGATGGCACTTTCGTAATTTTAAACCGAGACTCATACCAAGCATTCTTAGATGAGCTGAACTCTAGATCTCCCGGTATCAAGTTCAGCTCAAAAAAAGAAAGGGATAAGGAACAAACTACCTTTCCTTGATTGTTTCATTAGGCGGAAAAAAAGTAGAAATTAAGGCGTAACCATTTTCAGGAAAGCAAAGCATTCGAACAAATATTTATGTTTCAGCTCATCACACCCAAATTATTGCTGAAGTTTCTGTTATCTTCAGTCTTTTCAGGAGAGTATACATGCTCTAATAACGGATGAAAATGAAAGAGTTAAAGGATTAAAATATGTGAACAAGATACTTAAAAAGAATAATTATCGGGAGAAATTCATTCACAAAATAGGAAATAACATTAAATTACATTGTAAAACTACTCCTAAATCATGGGCCTCAATAATAGTTATCCCTTACAGATCACACACATCGGATGAATTTAGGAAAGTACTCAACAAATACGATAGCTGTGTGAAATCATCAGTGAATGTCATGAAGTTAGGACCTGGTCATGAGTTTAGTTTCGTAGTTAAACTGACTACTTATTAAATAAAAAAGATAATGGCAGAAGGTGAAACTATAACCTAGGTTTCAGCAGGATTCTAACCAATAGTTTTAAGACTATCGGCTCCGTGACCCATCAGCTAAGCTACTAAACCCGGATGTGGATGAGGTAGGTTTAAACTTTAATCACTGAAGCTGAAGACCAGTTGTCTGTCTGCTAAACATCACATACTTCAATAAGTCTAATCAGTATTAAGGATGAGTTCTGTTTCTACTTTCATCACTAGTTCAATCTTCATTGGCTTTACATCAATAACAGAACACTACATTGGTTTGATTTTACTCATGTTCATTATTATTATTCATCTAACGAACAGTACAATGCAAATTTTTCTAAGGTAGTATTCATCACTGACTGACATCACCTAGAAACCTTGGAGCACTGGACAGCTACGTTGTCTAAGTATGCGACTTTTCGGAAGTACGCACCCACCATGGATCTAATTGGGGAAACTCAGGTTTCCCTGTGAGCACATTAACCATTCAGCCATTGTTTAGAAATCATTGGTCCGCACTTTCCTGCTTCTGTCAGTTCTTGATACAGCGCGACTATGCACTAAGGTTTACAGTTGGCATTCGCTTCATATGCAGCTAGTTGACCCCATATGTCGCGGCTTCTCATTAGAATTTCAGGATATCCAATTGGAAGCATGTCAATAATAAGCCCTACAAAATAATGTAGTTTTAGTTTATGAAGACTTTATTTCACTTTCACCTAGTAGGGTCGTGAACATGTACTGCTGAGAAGCTCCATACTTGGATGAAACAGCTGTTTCCTGCTCCCAGATTTTTAAAGGTTCTCCAACTGATGTCAGTGAGTGATGAACGCCACCTTAAAAAACAACTGTGATTTGTTAGTTTCAGTTCTTTTTAGCATATTGACATGAAGTGTGTGGATATCCCTCTCATGCACAGATCATTATATAAGTAATACGATGCTACTTGTGATTTCAAGTATTGAATAAGACCGGATGGGAATAACAATATTCACCATATAACATACACGTTATTTGAACCGTAGGATTAATAAACATATTTTAAAGGAATATTTATTTATTTATGATGGTCGCACTATATTATGAAGTGATAGGAGTAAGAAAATATGGACCCTTGGATCCTAACTCAGTGGCTCAATGGTAGTATGTAAGGTCCTCGATCCGACCCCTATTGGGGTCATGGGTGCGTACTGTTGCACTGTTGCTTAGTAGGATAAGACAGCTGTCCACTGACTCACTGGTCTATGCAATGAACTTGCAGGATCAATAGGTAGAGGGTTCAAACCCTGCTCCACCCACAGAGGTCTGGGCAGCCAGGGAGTACCACTAGCCTTCAAACAATAGGTGTCACTCATTGTCTAATGCACGAATGTGCATTTGGTCGCTGAGTAAATTTCTGTTTTTTTTCAAGATATAGGTAGTATGAGATATTTCAGTAGTCTGATATTTCCCACTATGGTTACAATTCAATAGCAAGCTCTCCAACTGCAGTATTGAGTGACTCTGGTAGGATTATCCCTTGGCTAAATTCATATACTTTACTGATGGATGCTAACATACACAAATTTAAAATCCGAAAGTTCTTGCTAATTTCAGGATTAGTGTTGGATCAATATTGCTCAAATGAATTCATTTCTAATTAGTTAACATAATGTCTTAATTGATTTTCACTCACTGACTAGTGCACACCACTACTGTATTACTGATAGAATAAACCAATATATCACTACTTGCTTCAAGCCTATCCAAGCTTAACAGGAGTTCTTCGCATCAAAAATGAGTATTTCGAAGTGAATTTAGAGGTTTTCGGGATTTATGATTGATTTTATGCTGGTATTCATCAAAGACTGATATCATTTGGAGAAGCATAAGAAACCCGGCACTGGAAACCAGGTGACCGCTGGTTCGAATGTTGCCATGGTTCAAACCTTTATTTATCCTTCAATCATCAAGCAGTATCATTTCTAGTCTGCCAAACCACGGCTATTTCAGTTATCCAAAATGATATTCAGTATGATGCTTCCCCTCTCTAATTCAGTAAGACTTGGATATGACTGAGAAGTCCTAACTGAACAACCGGTGTGAGTACAATCAGGCGGTAGTAACGCGTCACGAATTCACATGGTATTCTGGCAAAATGCCTAGTGATTGACGTGGAGTAAAAATCTAGTCGGCAGTTGGGCTTCATAGCTCAGTTGGTCAAGCATCAGGCCAGAAACCCGGTCGTCTCTGGTTCGAATCCTGCCGCGGTCCAAATTTCCATTGACTCTTAGCCTAAAAGCGGAAATGAAGTCTCCAATTACTGAATTTTTTTGTTATCAGTTGAAATATACTATGTTCCGAAAAATTACTCAATCGCATCTTACATTGCGAAGATTAATGTTAATTCTCATACTTCTTTAATCCTGTATAATAAACACTGCGAATATGAATCCCAACGACTGGAATGTAACCAAGATCCAAGTAATTTCGCTGTTGCCTTTATAGTGTGCCTGTTTGCAATACAATTTCACCGTTACTTTTTTTCAAAAGAACCAAGGGAGTGATCTCTTACTAGTTCTACATGACTTATGAGAAGAAGGAAAGATTTAGTTTTACGGAAGTTCAGTCTCAGCCTGAATAGCTCATGGTAACGTCTCTCACTGCAGCATGGGATATCAGTTCGGTGTATGTGTCTCTGACTTCCCGCTGACTCCTTCCAACCGTCTAAGAAAAAAAATGCAGTTAAATAATCTTGATGAGACAAGAAAACAGTTGGTTTTTATTTACACTACAGTTGAATTTAATATTATTTGTTACGTTTCATTCCCGCACCTGAAATGATACATCATGAAGTAATAGTCAGAGATTTGTAAGTTTTTAGTCTAACAATGATTTGGGTCTCTTTCTGGACGATTATCTGTAAGCATATGAGTCCCTTAAGAAATGCTTCTTTGAGTAATATTACCAGTCAATATTCATTTTTCACCTACAAACGTTAGCTTCATTTTTATCAACATACAAACGTGAAACAACACCTGATTTCATTTACTGTATTTATTCATCATTCTCTACTCATAAAATACTAATTACAGCAAATCAAACATTAAACCTCTTACAACAGTTTTGTTTTAAATCATCATTTACACATATATTTCTTCGAAAAAGAGCGCAGTTTGAATTTTAGAAAGTAAACGATATACCCACTACTGATGACCGAGACTTTTCCGTATTTAAACAAAAATTATAAAACACTTCATAGTAGTAAAACCTGGGATGTTACATTATGAAAAAAACCGTCCCGTTTTTTGTTCCATTTTATACACAACAGCAAAATGTTGACATATTTAATGATGACAGCAACGTGATTTCCGACTACCAGATTTTTCATGCAATATAATCGTAGTCTCCTTAATGCGCACATCAGTGGAGTGCTTTTCCATGATCTAAATTGATACAATGTAGGATTTAGAACAAACAGTAAGCAACCCAAAGAAAAGAAACGTTTCAATACACACTTCATGTCATCTTTTTCAATATGATTAACTGTAAAGCATACACGCTGTTTTTCGTATTCATACAAGAGTCCCTTAGTACTACTACTACGACTACGACTACTGTAAGACATCTGACTCAGAAACGCAGTAGATCACCTTTTTCTGTCGCTTATCTCATTATTCACACTACCGGCTCAATGTACATAAACCACCATTTGGTGAGCAATAGATGCATGTGATCCAGTCGTACTGTGACTAGCTTGCCACCCAAATAGTCTCTCTATGAAACTAACCTCTTTGTTGACAAACAGGCTGGAATCTCAAAGATAAAACATGGCCTATTATTGAAACACTGCCTTCTTATCAGACCTCGTTAGCAAGAAACTTAGATGAACAGCTTTCTGTTGACTGATTCTTTACATCAGTTTCTAGAAGTTTATTTTAGTGGTTTGAAGTTGCCTACGAAAATTGAAGACTGTTGCAATTTTTTCATATTTTGACTTCAATAGTACTCGCATCGGTAATTCTTGAATGCTTAGATTCAGTTTTAAGTCCCTTCTGACTCACCGAAACTCTTCAGTCCACCATAGTTTATTTCCAACTTAGGATGCAGTAAGACCTCGTGATTTATGCTAGCAACTTAACACTTTTTGATGGTGATATTTTTATAGAAAATTAAGTCGAAAATTCGGTCCTTCAAATGTACACTCACTTCAAAACCATGAACATTAGGAGTTCAGGGCTCATTTTAATAATAGTTACGGGAGATTATTAGTGACACAGATAACTTAGAATAGTCATTTAGCAAACAACAATTTTCAGTTTTCAATAATGAACATCTTTATGATGAACAAAAGTATTTCCTTCAAATAAAGTGGTTTCCTTTATAGTCACATGTAAGTCTTTGTCTGTGATATTTTCACGAGTCCGTGAAGTACTGAGATACTGTGGGAAAAATAGCCTCTATTCGTATCCAATTGAGGTATATCATCACGTTATACTATCCGCGTATTTCTTATTATTCACAGGCTCACTTTACAACTGTTCACTGGTATGTACATTTTGAACAATATGGGATCGTGTAGCTTAACTAGCTTGTACAGTTACACTCACCACTGTGAACTGTAAACCGTAGGGTATTACTGCTGAATTTTGGCTAAGTTGGTTTCCTAACAGTCAATTTGAGAAGCCTTATTTTTAAGGTAACCTTTGAAATCACAATATTTCTATTTCACTAGGAATACTGATGTGACTTAGGTTTTCATTTAACCTTCAGTCACCCACTCATATAAATAGTAACAATCCGCCACGGCTTCCTTAAATAATCCCAACAGCAATGAATAACATTACCTAGTGTTTCACAGCACTAGTTGTTTGAAATGAAGATTTTTCGCTTAACTCTTTATTCTTCAAAATAATCCAAGGACTTTTTGTTGACACAAAAAAAACTAGCTACATGCAATACGGTCACATGCATCGCATAGTTTTTTCAAGCTGAATCAATTCTGGCACTTGGCTTGAAAATCATGGTCTGATGACAGCTATGCGTTAAAAGCAGCAAATTGTAATTCTGACAAATAATTTCACATCATATTATTATATCATATCAATGTAATAGAACCTTATTGATTTGTTGTTTCTTAGGTTGTGTTCAGGTGGATTGGCCATCATAAATGGTGTGGATTGGGATGTGTTTAACTATAGACAGAAGTCACCCAATGGATCTGTGCCTCATCGGTTCCAGCAGTTGACTTTCAACCGGCTGGTCGTGCTTCCGAACCCTGCTCTGTCTACTGATACTTCGGCAGCTAGCTAGTATCATAATATCCCAATCAATATCCGTGGCTCACTGCCAGTTATAAGGATGTGCACAAGTTTACTATGTGCATCTCGATGTTTTTTTGGGTAGATAGTGGTTACTTGTTGTGTGGGTCTAGTTGAGTTCGAAAGTTCTAAAGTTATGAACAGCTTTGATGAAACTATTAATCTACCAACCTTATCGACAATGCGTTTAAAAGATTTCACAGAAACTGATGCTTTAGTGAAAATTCCTATCAGCGTCAACTAGTAGTGTACTCAGAAACGTCACAGTTTATCTATTTTGATCTGAAACAGAAACCTATACAAGTCTCATGTGCAGAACAATTTCTTTGTACGTAATTTATAATGAAACATTGAACTCAGTGATTCAGTACAGTAGTGCACTGCATCCACTACTGATTGGTTGGTAGTAATCTGCAGAAATTCCTACATATGGGTTTGTGTTTCCGATAGTGATCAGCTGAACGCAACTGAATATTCTAGATTTTCCTTTGCCCATAAAGCGAATAGAATGAAAATATTCTCAGCAACCTTGTGGACATCCGTACAGTAGGCAGTGAACTCCACTCATTGTACTAGGGTCAATAATACTACCTGGCTGCTCATCCATCGGTAGTTGGGGCACGGTTCGAACCTACCAATACTGGTTGGAAGCCAACTGTTCAAACAAGTGAGCCACATCACCACTAGTTACCGATGTAACGCTGATGACTCAGACTCGTTTCAGTCAGTGTTGAGGTCATTGACTTAACTACTAAGCTATTCAGAAATTAGCGGCGTCAAATTTCGGAATCTTAAGTCATGAGCTGAGTCTTGTCAAAGGGTCGCAAACGTGTGATACTTTAAAAATTGAGACTCATATGAAATAATTGCACATTGTTCTACAGCTGCTGTCAATTCTCAATGAAAAATTCTTTCCCACTAATTTTCTGTTCTTTTTTTTCTCTTCAAAGTTTTCAGGTAGCGGATTTTGCTAAGTATGTCATTAGGTGGCGAAATGTGAAGACCAGATTTTCAAATATTCTAACAACTCTTGGGTTCAGTGTTTCAGTTGATGTATACCTTCTTCAGCCGACAAAATCATACTCTAAGTAATGCTTACCGGTATAGTAAAGCCTTAGGACTTTATTCATTCATGAAAAGTCTTATTATGTTAAGCTTAGGTATCTGATATAAGTACATCAAAATATCCCTGAAGCTCACTGCAAGCAGTGTTAGGTGGGCAAAACTGAAGGAAAAAAGTATTTCCTTGCACACCAGAGTTTTGATTTCCAGGTCAACACACTAAAGGACTCTTCAGGAACATGTTGGATCTCAGAGATGAATCAAAAAAGAGTTGAACTCATGAAAAATTCAAAAGTTCCCCTATATTTCAGATTTATTTTGAGAGTTTTAAACAGTTCCTTATCATTCATGATTAATGATTCTTCAGTGAACACAACAAATGACACATTCTTTAACCATCATAAATACCTTCAAGAGGGTCTTCATGAGCAACTGTAAGCAGTTCGAGTCCACAGTCCTGCCAAAGCTCAACCACAAGGCTGTCAGGTCTCATAGCAAGCACGTAGCTGTTAAGCCACTAAATTGGAATCCAGTGGTTCACATTTTCCTACTTCCTTCAATTTTTGATACAGCGCAACCCTTATCCAATGACATCAGCGCGTATTTTTCTTCACAAATGTATTACATACTACTCAAACATAGTGGAGTAGCAGCAGAAATGAACCTCTCATCGTAAAGCCTACCATACTACATTTGTCTTGATTATATTCCTATTCAGTATATTATGTCTGAAATTACTTCATCCTCATGAAATTCACTCATTTTGTCAATATTTTTTCGTTAAACTGAATGTGAAAAGATACATTCATCAACCATGTATAAAATTTTCGTTACTTGTCCTTTTACGAACAATTAAAACATAAAAAAAGACAAACGAATTCAGAATATTTTAGTCTTGCTCTCCTTTTGCGACATTTTATTTAAAAATGATTCTTTGTTCTATGAAGAATTAAATTGTTACCGTTAAAGTATTCTTCATTTTGGCAACAAAACAACTTTAGCGCAAAATTTAAAGAGAAGACGAAATTTTCAAATTTCATCATTAAGTACAAATGAGTCTGTTGGAGTTACGTGAGGTGTGACCGATGATCATATGTAGTGTGTGTGAATCACACTGAAGAAAGACGCAAGCATGCAAACAACTTATCCGTCGAAGTGAATGATTATTTCAGAGTGAGTCTAAATGTCACCAGAACAATTCCGTTCCTACCCGAAGCAGAAAAGACTTAATTAGTTATTTCAGTGGTCGCCAGAATGACTTAAGAGTGTCACTTTAATACCGCCACCAGCTGACAGGATCGATCTAAAACAACGCGTTTATTGTTCACACTGCTAGCTTTCTGAGGATTCTGTAATATTGTTCAAGGTTATCTGATATAAACTTTACAGTCAAATTCATGTTTGTGGATATTTATATAGAAATTGGAGGGATGAAGTATAATCTCGTCTGAACACCAGTATCTTGGTGTAGATTCCAGTTTGAAGACTACGTTAACTCTTTGAAGCCTATCAAATGGTGTTCAGCTTGTATTCCTATTTCTGTTGTTTTTTGCCACACATTTTGGCATTACCTATTTTTGAAATGACAGCCGTTTCATATTTTAAATCTTTCTTTCTCTAGTTTTCCCAGACGATAAGTCGTTAGTCATAATAAGGCTAACAGAACAAGCCGGAGAAATATTTGTCTCTTATGCTCCCTTTATTGACAGTGCCTCTGTGTATTCTAACTGTACTTTACATTTCATTACACACTTCCTATTGTATGTCAGGTTTTCAGTTGACCAGTAGACTTTCATATGTTGAGCACTCGAGACTAGACAGCAATACAGACTACTGAATGGTGACCGGATCTTCTACATATCCCGGTCCTTCAGAAGTGTGTCATGGCCTACACAGTTTACAGGGCAGAGGTTTCACTCTTAGTACTGAGAGCTGTACGCTTTTGTGAACAGCGGAACACTAGCCTCCCTCCCTCTGCACCACTGATTAGAAATATGCCGTTCTGACTTTCACCAATAACCCTGAAATAGCAGTCTACAACTTTCTATCGGCTGACAACCAATTTATAGTCCTAAAACTGTGTTGTCACCATCAGTTGAAAACCTCACTTCCAGACACTTTAGGCTACAGGTTAAGATATCTTACGCTATCCAGAGCCCTACTCAACAACTCTGTTACTAATAATTACTAATCTGTTTTAAGTACTTAAGTATTATTAAGTAGTATGTATGCATATTTGTACAACTTACCAATTGAACTAGCGTTTCAAATGCTTCTTTCACATTTGTTCTATTTTTAGCACTCGTTTCTAAGTATGTACAATTAATACTTTTAGCAAATTCCTCAGCTTTTTGAATAGGAATTGCACGTGCAGGCTAGAAAAGAAGAACAGAAAAGATTTTGTAATTAAAATCGTCTATTTTCTCTTAATATACCTACTAGATCTATCTTATTGCCAACGATCAATTTGACTATTCTTGAGCCTGAATGATGTTCAATAGTTTTCAGCCAATTCTTCAATTCTTCAAAACTCTTTTGACATCCTACATCATATACTAAAGAAAATTACCAAAGTTTTGGGTAAAAAAAAAGGAATGAATTCTGAATTACCGACTAAAGCACCTTGTGCATGACGAAAATATGAAGGTGACATTTGATTTTTAAATCTTTCTGTACCAGCTGTATCCTAAAATATGAATATTTAAGGGCTTATGAAACATTGAACATTTACCCAAATGTATAACTTGACTAATTCATCATTGACTATCATCTCGCACAATTTCAAATCTGTACTAATTGTAGACGATGCATCCACTTCATTCGGTTGAGTAGTAAATGATCTTACTAGACTGATATTCACAATCGGTACGGAATATTGATGAAACAAACCTTGATTTGCCAACATTCGAATCACCGATTAAAATGATTTTCACTCTTCTGTCTATTTCGCTACCTCCTTCAGTATTTTTATCAGACTTAGATCGTACACCCATTGTTTTCTAAACAGGATCTAAAGTTAAAACAAAAAACAGAATATTTATACTTAGATATTGAAATACGAAATGATGCACATTTATTAGTGTCCCATCAGTTTTATTGACTTCCGAATATCAGTACTGCTGGATAGAATTATCAACATCATAATGACTACACATTAAAAAAGAGAGTGGCGTTGACGTAATCACTGTTGTCCGTTTGCTGGATGACAGTGTAATCCAAGACGCGTGTTCCCTTCTATTTGGAAAACATCAGCTAGATGTGTCCTAACCTCAGTGAGTAGCAGTATTCTCAATGGGACTCAAACCCAGTAGCCATCGATTAAAACTCCAAAATGTTATCCACTATGCTACATAAGAACGATGGAAACTTCTTGCGGTTATCCTTCTTGAAAGGTTGTAAGAAACATAACTGCTAGATCAAGAACAACAATTTCAGTGATAATACCGAAAGTAGGCAAGGATCAAACAACTATTACAAACTATCTTTATCCCTTGAAAAAACATCCACTAAAGTAAACGAAATGGCGATAACTCTATAAGCTACATTATTCATGATTATAGCTCTAGATATAAACCTTCACTACAATAATGGGCTCAGATCAAGAAAGACAAAAAGACACACAATCGAGAAGAAAACACAAGTGGACATCAGTGCACAATGCGTCAACATGAAACACATTATATCACCACATCAACTGGAAATACGCCAAGTCGATAGATCAATCAATGAAGAAGAAAGCAGACAAAAGTGGTGGAAAGTTATTAGGAAAGAGAAAGGAGGAATGAGAGGAAGCTCATTTTCAATGTGATGATTGAAATGAAGAAAATGCATGGACAAATCTTCACCAATTATATCAATTCTGAGTCATATCACATAATATCTCCAATCACTGGTTTCTGTTATCACGTGGATCCTAGTTAAGAAGTCTATATTCCTCTACACGTCACAGACCAACAGACATAGACTACAGGGACTGATACCGTTTTCTAGTCTAGTTACATCTAACCACTTCATAACCTGAACCTACTCTATCCAACATCATGAGATGGAATAGGTGATGACTAGACATGTGCAACAGGAAGGAAAAACAAGTTTATTCCTGATGAATGTTAATGGAGTTCGGCGTTTATTACTATGATAGAAGAATCAACTACTCTTCGGGTGTTCTACCCAGTAGTGAATGCACACATATTTCTCTTTATGAAACGGAAGAATGCATAAATAATAATTTTGAACGGAACTACGTAGCATCATCTTAATTTTGTTGCTTCCTCTTTAACTGATTATAACTTGCGTTGTCAACAATAAATAATCAAATATAATGTAAGTTCGATATACTCCAGTCACTACATGATGGTGAATGTCCAGTCAGTCTGTGGAACATACTAAAATTGAAATAACATGGAAGGGAATAGCAAATCTGAAGGAAGTTAAGACAACAGCAATCACAAAGTGTCGCGTTGATGTACATTATGCAATCGATAATTGTCGAAGATGGACAGAGGGGGAACCTATTGCGGTGGAAGATAGAGTATAAGATTAGGTGAGCACGTTGTCTGCTAGATATATTGAGAAGGCTGATTGTGCTCAGTAAATCGAGTTCAACTCACTTAGTCAATGTGGACATGTTGGTCTGAATAACAGATAAAGATGAGTTGCAAAGTTAACCAACTTAAGCTAAATCCACTTGGTAACTAACTTAAACAAACCAGCACTTAAGTTTCCATACAATTTGTCTAACTCAATACAATGAAGGTTTTTGTTATTTGCCTGATCAAAAAGGTGCATTGTTTCTGTACTGAAGAGTCTATGGACATTATATTATTAACTGAAACATTATTAGAAAATTGATACTCACTGAAGTTTTTAAACCGTTGCCAAAGTTAGCCAGTTTTAAAGCCCCCTCTATATTCTTTTCTGAAGAAACACATTTATATCGCTCCATACGGAAGGGAGTTTCACAAAGTAATTTTTTTTAAAATGTGTAAGCTCCGCTATTAGTAAAACATACTATGCAGCCAAGCTTATGATAATTGATAAGACCAAACAAACGTTGCAGCATAGACCTCAGTACTGCATAAACGATTGTGTCATATCACACTGAATTTATCAATTTACATGTGTTTGAGAGCATATATACATAGGAAGAACTAATCGAGATTTGCACTTCAGAGTGGGGGGAACTGTACCAAAAAGGCTACATAAGCAGCTGGATTCACAAACTTCGATAAGTGCAGAGGGCAGAAAACCATCATCACATATTGCAAAGCACATTGTTGAGAAAGGGCATAGGTATGATATTAAAACAACCTTTACAATTTTATAAACAAACTGTCAGCGGCTTATACTTAGACCACGTGATAACAATAATTCTGAATCTGTAACATCATCACTTATTCACTGTGACATGTTAATAGTGACTAACTGGCTGGATTTCACGATACTTTACGAAGGTGCATCTTACTAGCAACTGTTGAATACACAACACCTGTCAACTGTCGCACTGAATAGAGAATCTCTGAACAAATTAGCTTCAAAATGCTGGGATTATTGGGTACGTATGCAAACAAACAGGCTCAAGAAATACAATGAAACAGCCAATACTCACTAACAAATATTGAAAACAGTCATAGGAACAGAGATAATGAACCGACTAATCATTGCCAAAAGTATACCAACAGAAAACGTGAATGAAAAAGAAAGGGAAAACTATGAACTAAGTTACTCAAGATCTCCAAACTAACAGAGAGAAAAACAACTGGAAAGAGAAATAAACGCTTTAGAAAGAACCATATCCTCAACAAAATACAGTTTACTCCAAACAGAGATCAGCACTGTGTTAAAATTCTGTTCAACCTTTGAATCTTCACTCAAAACTACAGGAAAAGCAGTGAAAAAACAACAAAACCTACAATAAATAATCATTCTTTCTACAAAAATCAGCGGAAAGGAAAGGAAGACACTGAATTTATTAATGTCAGGTATAGGAATTATAATTCTACCATGTGATTCTATCCAAAATTATTATTTATGCATTCTTCCGTTTCATAAAGAGAAATATGTGTGCATTCACTACTGGGTAGAACACCCGAAGAGTAGTTGATTCTTCTATCATAGTAATAAACGCCGAACTCCATTAACATTCATCAGGAATAAACTTGTTTTTCCTTCCTGTTGCACATGTCTAGTCATCACCTATTCCATCTCATGATGTTGGATAGAGTAGGTTCAGGTTATGAAGTGGTTAGATGTAACTAGACTAGAAAACGGTATCAGTCCCTGTAGTCTATGTCTGTTGGTCTGTGACGTGTAGAGGAATATAGACTTCTTAACTAGGATCCACGTGATAACAGAAACCAGTGATTGGAGATATTATGTGATATGACTCAGAATTGATATAATTGGTGAAGATTTGTCCATGCATTTTCTTCATTTCAATCATCACATTGAAAATGAGCTTCCTCTCATTCCTCCTTTCTCTTTCCTAATAACTTTCCACCACTTTTGTCTGCTTTCTTCTTCATTGATTGATCTATCGACTTGGCGTATTTCCAGTTGATGTGGTGATATAATGTGTTTCATGTTGACGCATTGTGCACTGATGTCCACTTGTGTTTTCTTCTCGATTGTGTGTCTTTTTGTCTTTCTTGATCTGAGCCCATTATTGTAGTGAAGGTTTATATCTAGAGCTATAATCATGAATAATGTAGCCTGCAGAGTAATAAGACAGTTGAAGATTACGTAAACGTTTGATGTATCTAGTGTGAATTTATGAAAATTATGAAATTATTTCTATAAGCAAAGGCTTCTTCATGAAATGAAGACATTTTAAAGATCAGTTACAACATGCATTGTATAGCGCTCCATTTTGTTGACCTCGTTCATCTGCAACACGAGAACCGCAAAGCATTTGTTTTCTGAGTTACTGAAGAAGGTCGATCTAGAAATCACTGAAATAGCCACTTGATACTCTTTGTGTTTTAACTAAAGAGGTGATTTCAGGTAAATATAGAAGCCTTAGTCATTATCTAAATGTTTACTATTCAGAATCACTCAAAATTTACTCTTAGGTGGAGAAGTATTTATATACACAAAGATGATTTAATTTTATGAATGTCTAGAGCTTCGGTAAACTGAACTGCCTGGTTGCAGCTACTCTGATTTTATGGTTTAAGGGCTGTTTTCATGTTTACTCTATGATAGTTATGTAGTATATGTCCAGTTACTGTCAAACGCATAGTAGAAGCTAGTTATAGGGTAGATGGTTTCGAGCACTGATTGTTTTTATGATAATATTTTTTATGAACTGAAGTCAGAGGAATAACTGTTGAAAACTTGGGAGCACTATACATTTGTTTTGGTCCTTACATGGTGATACTCAACGAATATCTGAAAAAACCCCAAAATAGTAAGTGATATCATTAATAACGAGTCGTTTGGAATATTTCAAAAAGAATTTACAGGAAGAAATTATTTTAGGACCGTTACTGATGGCAACTGAAATCATTTTCGAATTCACAATTCTCGTAGATATTTCATTCTGTCACAATCACAAACTGGTGTTATATGGCATTATATCTCCGGCTGGTATTCATTACGGACTGACATCAATTGGTAAATCATTGAAAAACTGGAAGAACTGGACAGCTGTTTCGTCCTAGTATGAGAATTCTCTGCACTTCTCACCAACTAACTCGCAAGGGACTTTCAGCTCTCATGGCCGACATATTAACCACCCAGCTGGTAATTCTGAGCTTGATGGTCTAAAACTTCCTTTTTTTGATCATTATGTGATATAGCATGACTTTTGTTTCCGCATCACTTTCGGCTGGTTAACCCCAGAAGTTACTACTTCTGATTACAACTTGGGGATTTCCATCTTGAAGCATATCAGTAAGGAGCACTTAGCAGTAATTTATCTCAACATTCATAGGATTTTGTTTATTTAATGTGTGAATAGTTAACTTATTCACCGGAAGGCCTTGAGGTTTTGAGTTTGATCCCTGACAGGGTCGTAGGTGCGTGCTGCTTAGGAGATATATACTAGGACAAAACATCTGTTTAGTGCTCCTAAGTTTTCAATGACTCTCCTATAAATGACGTCAGTTCGACATTACTACCTTAAAATGAATAAAGTCCTAATAAGGTTCAAATTAGATTATACTTAAGTCATCAGTTACTTTCATTACAGCAATACTTCTTGATGTACATACAGATTCTATAATATCATGTACATAGTATCCGAATTATTCAGAAACCTTTAACTTAATACAAAATACATTACTACTTACTTTTAACAAGTAGGATAATAAAGATAACTATTGTTAAATGATCCCAATTATGACTGAATCCAACTGTATACCACCATTTGCACAAAAGTGAAATGGGTACAAACTAAACTGGTGCATTTGGATTCATGTATGCATATATATGCATAATATGTCAATTAATTTCATATGACATATCACTCACTACAATGGATACTAACTATAATCACTTCTAGTATTGTTATTGTCGATTTTACTCAGAAAGACAAAATAAATGTTTAACTGATTTGTTTTTTTGCTTTTTTTTATGTAACGAGAAGGATGTAGGCGTATGCGTTTCAAGTGATTACAAGAAGTGCACAATTTCTAGACCCACAATGATGGACTGCTTTGATTGTTCTCGGAGATGGAAATCTTATTATTACTATAAATAAACATGCTTTAGACTAATGATAATCTAAGTGTTCCATATTACTTTAAACTATCGAATATTGATTACCGTTATTATTTATTTATTTAGCGAGGTGCACCCTTCACTCAATTTCACTTATGAAGGAGAAAATGAGCGTGAATTGCATTTTTTAAACGTCTTGCTAAACACAAAAGAAAATGGTTCAGTCAGCAGATACGTTTACACAAAAACCATATTTACAGGTCAGTAAAAAGCGAACCTGTTTAAATGTCTTACTAACAAACCAAGAATAATATTTTCACATGATTTATTACATAAGTAGTTAGAACACATTCGAAACTCATTTATTCAAGTGAGCTCTTCTAACAGTTTTGTTAGAAGACTCATAGACAAAATGGAGAGAAATAAGCCTGGAATTATTACCGTTCGAAAGAAACCATTGTCCATGGAACTGTAATTAATTGGAAATATAGCTAAAGGCTGTTTGCAGTGGTAAAGAATATTTGTATCTCAGGTGGATAATCTTGGTTATGTTGTGTTCTGTGAGGTAGGCGGTTCAATCATGCAGCTTTTATTATCCTTCTCGATAACATCATCAGCCCAAACTTCAGCATTAAGTGAATTGCCAATATATCTCCTTGAGTGATTTAGTAGCTCGCACTCACGAACCGATTCGTTTTGGTTGTTTCCTTTGGTTATTATGCGATTGACTGTATACATTCTCCTGTCGCATGTTCCTCTACTTGGCCTCTCACCTTTCTGTCGTCTACCATTTTTCTTATTGATTGATAGATTGTGTCTATGTCTATACATCTGTTGATTGCTGACTACCTGACTGACTGACTGACTAACTGACCTGAATGCCAAGCTTCTAGGAATTCTAATATTCTTTGTGTTTCCTCTCTCCGTCCAAAATTCCCACATTGTCGAAATTGAATTCATGTTCATAGTTGTTATCCACGTGCATTGAACTGAGTGATGAAATGTCGTGACGTTTAATAGCCAATTGGTGTTCAGGTAAACGAAGGTGAAGAGGGTGACCACTTTGCTCAATGTAGTGTTGATTACAGTTATTGCAGTTGATTTGTAATTGGTGTTCGGTTTGTCTTCTTTGGTTGTTACGTTCTTCCGTCTGGATAATAGTGTTTGGAGTGGATTTGTTGGTTTATGAGCCACACGAATTGCGTGTGGTCTCAGTAATCTTGTCGTGATCTGTGACATATTCTTTATGTATGATAGGATGATGTGTTTATTGATTTCTGTCGATGACTTTATAGTTGACGCTGTACGGAATAGGCATCTGACAAAGTTTCGTGGGTAGCTGTTCTTCTTTAGGACAGATATGAAGTAATTCTCGTCGTTTCTCCATGGAGTTGTTTTACCGCAGTGTTTTCTCTCCCTTTTGAATAGTCTGCACGCAACTGACTTTGTGTGTCGTTGGGTTGTTGCTATTGTAGTTGAGGATTTGATCAGTGTGCGTTGACTTTCTGTATACTTGAGTTTCCAGTTTCCAGTATTTTTTCCACTGACTAAGACTTCTAGGAACGGCAGTTAGTTGTTTAACACCTTCTTCATTGTGAATTTGATGTCATTGAAAATGTTGTTAATCAAACTGTTAGTGTTTTCTGTATCATCTTTTTTAATGATGACAAAAGTGTCGCGTACATAGTGAATCCAAATTGTTAGTTTAATTACAGGTGAAATGATGGCTCCCAGTCTCTGTATCACTGCTTCTGCAATTAGTTGGGATGTCTGTGATCGCATTGGTGTTCTTTTCTTCTGTTTGTATATCTTGCCATTAAACTGGAAGTATGTTATCGGATAAACATCAGTCAGTTCAATCAGACTTGAACATTTATATAGAGTGCTTTCTGAGAGGCTTGTGTCGTCAGTGAGCAGGAGGGGCATAGTTTCCTAGGTCATTCGTGGTTCAGTTGATATGTACAACGTTGTGACATGGAGGGACAACATTAATTCGTCGTTTTCTATATTAATACCTTTGATCCTTTCCAAGAATTTTGTCGATGATTTGACGGAATTTCCTGTGTGAATCCAAAAGGTATTTCAGTTTCCTCGAAAGTTCTCTGGGTGTGTTTTAGGCTGGAGTTACCGGGAATGGAACTATTGGTCACAGAGTTATTAAGAGAACTTTCTACGCTGCACAACTCTATCTTTCATCTTCCAGCCTACCGTCTGTTGTTGATCAGCTAAAAGATAAGTTATCTAGTTTTACCATTTGAAAAAGCGATATAGGGCACACTACTAGACAACTTAACAGACATGTTGCTGAGCTCTACTTTCATGGTTGAGAAGGAGGCAGATAAAATCTATCAGAAGTTGTTTTATCTCATCTTGTTGATAGTGGCCGCTTGGTAGATAAGGTAAATACTTCCAAGATTATTTGATGCATACCAACATAATCTTTCAAAAGGTATCTGAATCATAGTCTTTGCATCCAGAAGAAGTTTGTACATCACCTATCTCTTCCTTTGCAACGGAATACTAAATGAACAATTGTATCGTTGAAATTTTTCCTATCCTTTTCTTATTATTCACCTTCCTCGTACACTTACTATATTCAGAAGTTAATAGAGATTTTAGTTTTGAGGTAGTATTTTTCATGGACTGACATCACTTGGAGAACTACTGCAAACCTGAAAGCCTTGGACAGCTGTTTCGATTTAATATGGGACTTCTTAGCAGTACGTGCCCACGGCTTAGTAAGGGATAGAAGCCAGAAGCTTCAAGTTCCACGGCGAAAGCGTAAACCATCCAGTCACTGTATCAGAATTCAATGGTTCACAGTTTCCAACTTTTGTCACTTTGCAGTATAGCGCGACTATACTTGTTTACACGTCGTTCATCCACTAACTTCATCCTTCAGTATTACGCAACCTATATTTTTTTCAAGTAAGCTTTTGACCCACTTTGATTATCGGACTGTCTATATTATTATCTTCCTGTTTACTTGGTCCTTATCATTATTATTATCATCGATATTACGACTACCTGGATCACCGCTGTCAGTATGACCTTTCAAAGTTGTCATTATTATTGTTTTCATGATTATTACCAACCTTACTGTAAAACACTTGTCACATTAACCGACAAACCTGGACGGCTAACTAAATTTTTACATATTGTTATTACTATTATTATTTCCAATGGGACTGATTATCTAAGACAGCTGTAATCTGGCAAACTGCTATTACTGAAATGAAGTGAAATTAAGTCCCGGGTAGTGGCGAGATTCAAACTAGCGATCTCAGAGCGCTTTTTCCAATGAAGCTACAAGAAAGATCTTAGTCTCACTTTAATCAACTTCAATCACAATACTGAGGTGATAAGTGAGTTCGAGAGCTGCAAGAAATAGTTTTTCATCAATTACTTACGTCTCCATGGCAAACTTCAGACATTTTTCTTATCATTAAAAATCTTTCTAACAATGTACATAGTCTTGAGGAAACTTACTACTGACCTCTTAGTCGGTTCACTCATTCAAAGGAAAACTGTTGGAATTAAGGTGAGATACTGGACAATTGATGTGACCGGAAACAGACAGTGGTTTGTTCTTGATTTAGATGAAGATAAAGTGAAACTAAAATGCAGAAACTTGGTTAACAGATTAGTTGCGTTGCTGAGTTACAGGAGACAATGCTGTGTATTCCTTAAGCAAATGGTTCACAAACTCCATAGACTACCTCTGTGTTTCTCACCGGTTAGTAGTTTTTCAACTCCCACCCAACTATGGTACTAGCGGCAGGGTTTCTTTTGGAAACCACCCCCACCAAAGCAAGACCACATGGCGTGTTTTATGACACAAAAGTGTCACGAACTTCTGAAATATGCTACTACTAAAAGCATTCAAGGTGACCTGTAGACTTTATCAGTCAACTAGATCAGATCAAAGTAATCTGAACACTGAAAATGAATTCGTTCGATTACGCCACTGATGAGTTGGTATGGATTTAAGCGAGATAAGCAGTCGTCCGGTATTTAGTTCCTGTAACATAGCTGACTGGCGAAGTCTACAGATCAGCTTGAGTGGTTTCTAACTACTGAAATTGTTCAGTAGTATTATGCTTGGTAATTTTTCTTACAAACAAAAGTTTATCCGCCAACTGGGATTGTGACACTGGTATCTAAAGTCTACTCTTCTGAAATTGAGAAGTTGATTCCACCACTTGCCTACTCAATTAAAGTAGCATACAGTGAAACACTAGTGTTTATTAGGTTAAGATACCCTAATCTGATAATTTACTAAACAGTTCTACTTTCATGCGAACATTTTGTTTTTGCATCATCAACACTGTCACAGATTTCAAACAATCGAAAATGTTTTATTCGTTACTGAAAAGTTATCAATTAACTTTACATTAGTGTACAACAAATTAGTGGATCGAAAAAGAGTGGCATTACAGTGGATAAAAGTGTATGCGAGGAGACGAATTAAGTCTGGGAAGGTTGATAGAAATAATCGATGATTGAATATGACAGAGAGTGTGTAGCACCCTCAATAATGCGATCTGTTATGAGTGATATCGTAAACAGCCTGAAACCTTTATTCTAACCTATTTGAGACTCCAACAAGACACTCTACACCTGTGTGTGGGTAGACTCTGTGCAACTGATAATATGAGTTAGCTGAGTGCCAAGCCCTATTCAGCTTTAAATTCATATTTCTAAAAGGAGAAAAAAGAGTTTGCAAGTTTATACGTTTTCAAGGAAACCTTCACTGAATATCAGAATGAAACTTAGCCACTGTGGTAGGTTTTAATTTCATTTAGGTCGACTTATTGGTGTGCAACCCAGTGAAAATTTATTGCTGGTAGTCATATCAATGCAATCCTAAAGCTTCG